TAATTTGGGTGAACCCATACTAGCTCAGCGCATATCGCCAATGTAAACTTAGGGCTATGACAAAACCTAATCTAAGGGTTTAAATGTTTTAGTCTAAAGATTAAACCTTTAATTGCAGCTCTCAATTTTTTCTTAGTTTATGAGTCGCCCTTCGACTTAGCTAGGTCATTTAAGGTAGTAATGGAGTTATGCTTGGAAATCTTGGGTCCTCTCCCAGTTAATGCTAGACGCAATTCCTAGGAAATGGGAGGTCCATTTTTTGACAAATGTGAAGGTCATATTTGTGAATCACCCTAGCAGGGTCGCAGTGTGAGAAGATCCACTGGTTTTAATGATATCAATGTACTTATGAGCGGTTCAGACTGATTGGAGGGCAAGTACTGATGTGACCTGCTCATCATGGAGAGGTTGATTGCCACACTAGTAAGGTTTCGATGTTGCAGTGCATAGGAGGAATTTGAAGCTTTAGCATTCAAATGAACCCACGGTTAACTTTGGAATATAAACAAGTCTGGGAGTGTTTCATGAGTGCAAACTCAAAGGACTAATTCCCAATCTCTTAGGGTTTAAATCGTTTATTCTATGTTTTTTTGGTGGAAAGAAATGTCCCATTCGAAGATTAATACTTCAATTGCAGCTACCAATTCTTTTTCTTACTACGAGTCGCCCACTTAGCTAGGGAAGTCATGCTTGTAAATCTTGGGTACTTCCGCAGTAAATTATAGAGACAATTCTTAGAAAATGGGAGGTCTATTTTAGACCTATATAATACAAGGGCAAGACTATTGAAGGCCTATTTTTCAAACACCTTCCAAGAGTTCAGCACGACTACATGCCAAACATAGGCCTAGGCTTTCATAGATAGGTAGCTGTAATGAGAAGATCAACTGGTTCTATTGATATCAATGGACTTCTGTGAACAACGGCACAGACTTTAGGGAGGGTAAGTATTGATGTGATCTAACACCTGAAGGGGAAGATTGCCGCATCAATAAATTTTGAAGTTCCAGTACAAAGAAGTATCCAAAGCTTTAGCATTCAAACAAACTCAAGGTAAACTTTGTAATGAACCAATGATACTGAGGATAAGAGAGTACAAAAAGCAATCTCCTTCCTAAATATTCACTAGTTCCTTTTATTTTATTTTTTTTCCTTTTAGTGATGTTTCTAAAAGCTTTGACCAAGTGTTTGATGTTCAAAAAATTTCTCTTGATTGAAAAATTCGATATGTCGACACGTTTCAGGTCAAGTAGAAAAGTCCAAGACTTTTCTTCTTTTTTTTTTTCCTTGCTCAAATTAAAAGCATAGGTTGTTAGTTTAAGTCGCAAGAGTGATAAATTTAGTAATAAAAGTATATTTGTCAAAATTTAATTTGCTCATATTGAAATAAATCTGGTTTTTCTGGATTTGAAATAAATCTGGTTTTTCTGGATGGATAACATGGCTATTCTCTTTTTAATTTCGAGTAACCGCAAGATTTAGCTTCTAAATTTGATAAAACAAATAGAATTTCCTAACTCAAGAAGTGAATATGTGAGACTGAAAAGTCGTAAGAGTCCTAACTCATAAGAGTAAGTTTCTAATAGCATGTTTGGCCAAGCTTTTCCAAAGGCCGAAAGTGTTTTTTTTCTTCCCTAAAAGTCTAAATAATTCACTTTGGAAGGAACAAGGTCCATAAGAAAACAGTCACTAACCTCGTCAAACCTAATCAGGGTGACAAACAAACGAATATCTGCTTCAGTCACTTGATCTCCACATAAGTATCTCTGCTTGCTCAGTATCATCTCACATTTATCCAAAGTTTCGTACAGTTTTTGCACTGCCTGCAAGGACAGAAAGGAGATAAATTGTTCTCAGATAGAACTGATTGAAGAACTATAAGATTTAAGATGCTTAAAAAACTACTCCAATTTTTAGCCTATTTCTAAGTGAGGTAAAAGTTACCTCATCGTATGGCTCCTGCTTCTTTGCAAAACCACATCGATATACTCCATTGTTTATTCCATCATATATCCACTCATTTATTTCATTGATTTGGGATTGCAAATGAGGAGGATAAAGGTCCAGAGCTGCATTCCCAGCTATGTCGTTGAATTCACTATTAAACATGCGTATTATATCTGAACTCTCATTGTTCACGATTGTCTTCAGTTTCTTATCCCAAAGAACCTATTAGAAAAACCAGACCATCAATCAACAAAAAATTGACATACAATGCAAATAAATGTTAATAAAGATTCTATTTATCAATAAATCATACCGGAACTGTGTATTTTCCAGAATAGTTTGTACTTGCAAACTCATATAGCTCCCTTATGTTTTTGGCTCCATTAAGAGGATCAGGCTCGGCTCCTGGCTCCTCGGCGCTTGAAGAAGCAAAAACCCACCCCATGTGCTCATCACTGTCCTTCGTCCTCTCCCATTTAGATTTAACAGACTGCGAGCCAAACACAGAGGAAGAGATTGTTAGGAATCCAAACTTGAGTCCAGCATATAAGTTCATTCAACTGCTTACTGTGAAACTAATGGCTTGATCAAGTCCTTTGATGTTCAAGTAGGCAAGACACCTTGATGCCCATGGGCAAGCATATGATATGTAGAGATGGTACCTCCCAGATTCTGCTGGAAAACGGGAACCGGGATCCCTTGAGATGATATTACGGAAGGTTGATGCAGTTCTCTCGAATGCACCAGTTGCTGACATCTCATCCAGAGCGGAACGCGCCATTTGTAGACTGTGCTGGCATTGACCAGTAAGATCAGATATTAGTATAACCTTTCATCCTTTCAAACGAGAAGCATAATTGAGCATGATCCCGAATCTAAAGAAGATGTTATTTGTTCAACAAAGCACGCGACACCTTAACTTATAATTTTAGAGAAGTTATAAATTATGCAGCCATTATATTCAATTGAATAACACTAACATATGATCCATATTCCTGTTAGTGGAGAGAAATATAACTACTATGCAGAAAATAGAAAATCCTATCACTGTTTCCCTATCATTCTTACTCAGACACGATTCATAGTTCATATCAAGAACTTATAATCTGGAAATACACTATAAAGTCAGAATCACAATTCCTCATAAGCTAATTCTAATACCCTTTTTCCTACCCTTTTCTCTTTGTGGGACCCTGCTCAATTTTCTGAAAAGGGCACCAAGCAATTCAACAAAGTAAAACCCCTTCAGACTCTAGAACAGACTAAACTATCAGCTAAAACCCGGAATTAGAATTAAAATTTACACACAAGAATAAAAATATAAAGATTTTTTTTTTTTCGTTTTGTTATTAACCATGCAAATTCCCCTGAGCGAGTAAACCACAAAGTCAAGAATTCCTCTAAGAACATGGAATTAGCCATCTTGTGTAAAGGGTTTCAAAATCATAAAACCCTATAAAAATGATATAAAACACATCACCCACTGTGCTGCTGGAAAAAGATTAAGAACTGAAATTAAGTTGATTACCTTGAAGGAGAGCTGTTGGAATCCAGAAGTGTATTTCAGTGCTGTTTGTACTTGGATTTCTCTGTTTATAAAAGGAACGTTCATACTTGTATATATGAAAAATATGATCAAATAATAAATGCAAAGTACTACCTGTGTTAGTTTATTTTTATTGCTATTATTGTTTATACTTTGAATCTTGAGAATGGCACTTATAATCACGATACACTAGTAAGTGGGGAAATTTTCTATTGTTTGGAACTATTAATCTAATCATCTTTCCACTAATTTTGAAGAATTAGTAGACTTGAATTGAAAATTTTTATTAGGAAGTTTTAATATTCGAATGAATTAATTTTTTAGCAAATTCGATATTATAATAAAATTCTTTATTTATTGACTTTGGTCAAATTCGATGGCAAATTGGAAATTAGTTGGTGATAATGATTTTGGCAAATTTATGATGACATAAAGAGTACTGTGTTGAATTTCTTATCTTTATTATTTAAAAGGAAATAAAAATGTATTACTATGTTTTACGTTAGACCAAGATTAAGTTATGGCAAAAGTAATTGAGTACTCAAGTTCTCTTTTGCTACTTGAGGCTCACATCATTAGTGACCGCATGCTTTGTCCATCCAAAAGTAGTTGTTTCTTTCTCTATTTCTCATTTTGTTCGATACCATCATCATCATCATCATCATCATCATTATAAGAGTCGAGATTTCGTGAAATTTAAATCAAATGGATATATATATGTCGTAAAGTTTAATTTATTATTGCAGTTTTTTGATAAATAATGCTAAAAGGTACGCAGTTTTTTTTTTTTTGATAAAAGTTTTATCCTTAATTGAATAATCTTCAAAAAAATAGATACATAGACATTCTTTTAAAAATAAAATAAATAATAGAAGAGTTGTATCATTTTGACCGATTCCTAAATATATTAGCTTTATAAAGAACAATTTAAAGCATAAACAAATTAGTCATCTAATTTAAGATAGATGGTGCATTCAACCAATATTTCCGGATAAAACGATAAAGATACAAAATTAACAACCATTACAACTAATGCATTGAAGTGTGGTCAACCGAATACTCTTCGTCGAAAAATTATACTATGTATATAAAAACTTATATGGTGTATTTAGGTCAAAAATTATTTTTTATGTGTATATTACCATTTGCCAAATTCTTGGATTCGCCACTCCATACCTCCCTCTCCTAACCGACCCTTTCTAAAATACTCATAAAAAATCTTTTTTTATAAAATCTTTAGAACCTTACCTTTTCTTATTAGTCCACATAGATAAATTTAAATGGACAAATTGATTAGGCCGAATAATTCCATATGTTTAGGAATATCATTATTTGATTGATCTAAGTTCATCAACGAATTTTATCAACTGCAGCAAAGAAAGAAACTTCATAAGTCAAAATAGGAAAAAATCAAAATGCCTAGCAACTTTTTCTATGGATATAAGGCTTTAATTGATAGAGATAGAGGAAGCACCGTAAAGATCGATTATCTCATCTTCACACTGGATTAAACTAAAGGATCAACTCAGATGAAGATCCGCAAATCTGAATAGCTGCAGTTGAGAAAATGATAAGCAAAACAAATTGCTAAGTGCAAAGAACCTACATGGGAGAAGATCGTGAAAGTAAGACACATAAATTGTAACGAAGGGAGTACATGACATGTTCTTAACAATACCAAAAAGAAAGAAAGACGAAACACTACAGCTCCTTCGCACTTCCACTACGTATCACCTCCTCAACAGTAGCATTTCAACAACAGCAACATCCATACAGCAATGCTAGCTTTTATCCTGGTATGGTTAGCATTCTTTCTCGTACCATGATTGGGAGGCTCCTCAAGCCAGTAACTTTTTTCGATTTATGACATCGAATTGATAGTCACCACTTTTGTAAAATGCTTCATCCTTCACAAACTCACTAAGAGACAGCGAAAGAACTTAAGATTGGATTGTCAGTCCGGAAATGGATGCAAAGATAAAAAATGATGACGCTTAAATGCCTTGAACACGCTAAGAATCGTTGGACTGGTGACATTTCATGTGAACATAAATAGTTTGAACATGCTAAGAACTGTTGGACTGGAGATATTTCATCATGTGACACATATGTGCAATGGTGGTTTTATGTAGCCTGCAATGTAAACCACCTCTGTCAACAAACATGTGTGAATCCTCTGTCATGTATCCTTTTCTTCTAATCTCAAGAATTTGCAATAATGATATGAGAAGACTTTATCTTACCATGATGTTTAAGCATCAAAATCTAAATGAAACACCTTTCATACAAGCAGGCAGCAGCTACTTAGCGATGACTTGTGCTATGGATCTCCTTCATTAGAATCATTACATACGACTTGACAGCTGCATAGTGTGCTAGCCAACTTCTGACATTTAAAAGAAGGGAAGTAAAAAGGCTTATTGGTATTTGTTGTCAAATAACTGTCCTTCATCACCTCTCTCCTGCTGTATAATACTTTCTGTATACTTTTGTTCTCCTTCCCCAATATTGGACAATGATTATGTGAATATTAAGGAAAAGAAACTTACCTGATTTTCCTACTATAACAATTTTGCAACTGTTAACTTCCTTCAAATATCAACGGGGCGTTTGTGGAGCTTCTCTTTCCAGCAACATCATCACAGTAAAACAATTGAAAGAGTTACACAACTTTCCCTGGAAAAGAATCTTCCTCAGCTTGGTCATCTGCCCCAACACATGATCTACAAGATCAAATAAAAACACTGCAAATAAAAGAATGCTACTTGTATGCTTAGGAGAACCATTATTCATGAAAAACCCAATTTTATAAATAAATAAATACATAGAAGAACCAAAAAACCAAGTCATTCAAGGAACTAAAATGGTATCAAATGAGAGATGATGGAGGATCTTTCCATTTTAGACTTGGAAAATTCTTGCCGTTCTGTTGATCCTCGATTCCACATTATGGGAACTATCAAGAGATTCTAACCTTAAGTGGGCAAAGATATCATTTTTAACCTGCTACTTGCACAGCCACCAAATAGCCTTTCGGTTGTCGTTCAGCAAGCCACAAGATCATTCTGCCATAGATTCTCCTGTTTAAGCGAAATCATACTTATTAGAATGAGCCTAAACAAACTCAATTGGAACTGAAATGCTTTGGCAGTAAACGGGAAACAAATAATTGCAATACTAAAGGAAAAAAAGTGTAGTTGATTGGGCACCTACATAAAGCAAGACACATATTTATAGCAAAACAAGCAAAATTAACAAGCATACAAATCTTACCAAAATCTTTTGTTATTCTCTCATTCATACTGGACACAAGGTCATAGTTATTGCTTTCATAGCACACAGACATAAAGGCTGCAAGAGTTACTCGATCCACACTCTGTTGTTTGTCCAACAGTTTGTGGAAAAATAGAGCAGCTACATCCACATTTTTTTCACTGCAAAGCTTCCTGACTAGGGTACATACAGTTCGAATCCAAAGTTTTTTGTCTAATCTATCTAAGAGGTCCATGGCAATGGTTGGTTCATTGCTCTTGCAATACTCATAAGCTAAAGTCAGCCGTGTTACTTCACATGGGGGAATCCCTTTATCCGTCATTGAATTGTAAAGTTCTCTAGCTTCATCCAACTTTGACTCCTTACAAAGCCCACTAATCAGAGCACCATAAGTGAGGCTATCAGGTACACAACCATATTTTCCCATCCTCTGGAAGTACTTCTTGGCCATGGCCACATTTTTATCTCTACAATATCCGCATATCATTGAAGTACAAGTCTCTTTGGTAGGTGTTAAACCTAAAATTAGAGCATCATCAAAGAGCTTTTCACTGTCTTTCATTTTCTTTTGCCTACACAAGGCAGCAATTAATGCGGTGTATGTATGCATATCAGGGCTGATACCAGCTTTGACCATCTTATTGAAAAGGGCAAAAGCTTGTCTGTTATCTGCTAGCTTGCAGCTCTGAGATATGAGAATGGTGTAAGTCACTAAATCTGGAGAGATTCCACTTTGCAAACCTTTCTTCAGCATCTTATAAGCCTCTTCAACCCTTCCCTTTTTACATAGACCATCAATGACTGCGTTATACGTGAAAATGCCTGCTGTCAAACCCTTTTCATCCATCACACGCAAGAATTCATAAGCAGTATCAAAGTTCCCCACTTTACAGTACCCATCAATGAGAGCAGTGTAGGTGTTGGCGTTAGGGACCAACCCTTGTTCTTGCATTCTGCTCAAAAGCATCTCTGCTCGGTTCAATTTTTCCTGTTTGCAATACCCAGCTATAATGGCTGTATAAGTATGCACATTAGGCTTGTAATTGTCACTCTTCACAAGCTTTAGGAATAGTCTAAATGCCTTATCCATCCAGCCCTTCTTGCAAAGACCGTCAATCAGTGCCGTATGAGTGAAAACATTTGGTTTTAAACCTTTTCTAACCATTTCCTCTAACAACTCAAACGCATGCTTAATTATCCCTTTCTTACACAATCCATTTATCAAACACGTATAATTGATAACATTTGGAGCCAGCCCCAATTCAACCAATTGATTGAAAATCTTCAATGCTCTATTAACAGACCCCTTTTCACAAAACACACTCGTGATCAAAGTGCACGTCGCATTATCAACAAGAAATCCCCTTTCTAGCATTGCACTCAGCCACCTATCAGCCTCTGCAACTCTTCCCATCCTACAATAAGCAACAACCATTGACTCGAAACAAAAAGAATCAGGACACACTCCTCTGTCACACATTTCACCGAACACCTTCTCTGCCATCTCAACATAGCCCATCTCAGTAGCAACACTAACAGCAGAATTCAAACTCTGAGCATTCAAAACCAACCCTTGATTTTGCATCTCAAACACCATATCTATAGCCTCTTTCAACATTCCAATTTCACCGAAATTCCTTAACATAAAATGCATTACTTCATGGGCTTTCTCAAAGTTTCCATTTTTAATCAAATACATAGCTAAAACTATATAAAGCCTCATAAAATGCCTGAAGTTCACATACCCAATTGCCCAATAAAAGAAGCTCAATGCCAGCATTGATCCTCCTTCATCAGCAAGAGAAGCAACAACTGTTATAGCCTGTTCTTGAGTCAAATACTCAGAATCTATAGGCAGTTTCAACTTGGGAGCTGTGGATTTGAAATGGCTATTTTCTTGAATTTTGCAATATGATTCACACACTAAAGAACAAACCCTTTTGACAACTGAATCAAAATCTGAAGAAGATGAAGGTAATGGGTTTGTTGTAAAATAGTCAATTTTGGTATGGCGCCAAGAGGGATTAAAAGTGAAGATGTGGTGAGGTTGGGTGAAAAGGAGGCCATTGAGGAGTGTGTTAGAAGCTGTAAAGTGGTAAAATCTGTAGAGACGATGCAATGTAAAGGAAATCATGAAAAATGTTTTATTTTGAGAGATTGTTGGGGACAACAGCGTTCACAGACACACAGGATCTAATATCAACAGGCGGTACTTCAAATATTCCAGGCTACACTTTATATTTCTCAAGTGTCAGAGTTGGAACAACGGATTTAAAAAATAAAAATTATATATGTGAAGAAGCCAAAAAAATTCAACATTTTATATATATAATTTTTTTAAATAATCTTATATACATAATTACACATTATATTTCCCGACGAAAGGGATTCGGATAAACCCTTCTTAGGCCCTCTAACTCTGCCACTGCTTGTTCTAGTTATGTATCATCAAAGAGTTGACATTAAGAGGGAGTTGATGAAGAATAGTTTGTTATAATTTGTTGGAAAGTACGTGGGATTTAAGTGAGTCCACTTCTGGAGCCTTTTAATCTGTCTTTTTATATATTTAATTTAGAATACATACTCTTGTATGTGTGCAAATACATATAGATATATATTAGGAATTTTTACCTCATATAGCAAAGGATAATACCTTATTTATTTTAAATAAATACCATTTAAAAAAATTATATTCTATAGATACCTTTTAAGGTTTATAGCAAAATATTTAATTTTGGTTACCTCCTAGCCCTAAGCCACTAAATACGCTAGTCAGTTACACTATTTTCTTTCTCTCTCTCTACTTTGATACATCCCATTCTCTTCCCCATCCCATTAAAATTCCTACAGTACGTTTTCACTTCCGGATCCATAATCAAACCCTCCGACCCTAAAAATCAACCCTACAAGGATCGATTTTGATAAAAAAATCCCCTATAACCACAATTACAAGGATCCGTTGCAATTACAATTGCAGAAGATCTTCCTTGCTTGCCTTCATGAACTTCGAACCATTAAACATTATCAAGGACTGTGAACTTCTCTTTGATAGCATCCTTAAGAGAGAGCCAGATTCTTCGTCCTTACGTTGCAATTACAATTACAGAACATTATCATGCTGTATTTTCATGTATTTCATTGTATTCATTGTCTTTTTTTCATTGTAATTCAATGTATCTCGTTGTATTCCGTGTATTTCATTGTATTCACTGTCTTTTTTTCTCATTGTATTTCAATGTATCCCACTGTATTATATGTATTTCATTGTATTCACTGTCTCGCTATATGCCATGAATGTATTCATATTTTTTTTTAATTAATATAATTTTATGTATTTAGATGTATTATATAATTTCTCTGAAGATTGCTATGTTTTTGGGTATTTTTCGTTTGAGAATCTTTTTTATAACTGACAATACAAAATTTGTGTGTTATAATTGAGTTTGTTGAGTTATATTAGGAGTATATTATGTTAATTGATTCACTTTCCGTTTTAAAAACAGTGTAATCCCCTATTTCACGCCGTGAATACAGTCGAATGCAATAATCTGTCCAGCTGCAATTAGGGCTGTGCATTTGGATCGGATATCCGAAATCCGATCCGATCCACTCTATTTCGGATTTTTGGATTTCGGATTTCGGATTTTCGGATTGGATACGGATTGTGTTTTATAAAATTTCAGATTTTCGGATTGGATTCGGATTGGTATGATCTAAATCCGATCCGATCCGAAGTCCGAAACTATATGTACCTATATAAATACTACACTAAAATTTTAGGGTTAGGCTTATTCATTTTTTACACACCCCCTCACTCACTTAGATTTTTCCGCCTTCTTCTCTTCAGTGAAGACTGAAGAGTCTCAAAGACTCAAAGTCTCAAACTTCTGATTTTACTTTGATTTTTATGTCTCTTTCTTCCGCCTCTCTTCCCTTCTCTTATGTCTTTTATGTCTCTTTCATGTTCTATTTTTCAACTTTTGATTTTACTTTTTTTTTTTTTGGTAGATGGAAGACGAGACAGAGACACCGAATAAACTTCAAATTGTTGAAAATTTTGGTGAAAGAGATGCTTCAACTGATTCCACAACCAACAACAGTGAATCTCAATATGGTTGTATGGTGTTTTAGGAGATGAATGGTGTTTATTCACTCAATTTTTTTGATTATGATTGAATGGTGCTTTAGGAGATGAATGGTTTTTTCTGATTGAATGGTGTTTTAGGAGATGAATGGTCCTAAGTCCTAACCAGCAATTTTGTGACAATCCAATCCGACAATCCGAAAAATTATCCGATCCAAAATTTAAAATCTGATCCGATCCAATGTTAATTAGGATCGGATTCGGATTGCCCTTTTCAGAATCCGAAATCCGAAATCCGAATCCGAAATATGCTAAATCCGATCCAATCCGATCCGTGCACAGCCCTAGCTGTAATCCCATGTTTCACTCCATGAATACAGTCGAATACACTCGAATACAACAACTAATTAGCTGGACTTCCCTGATTCACGCCTATTTTTGCTACTGTATTCATGAATACAATAGCTTAAATACATCAAATACATCTTATAACCACAGAAAAGGTATCTATAATCCATAATATAGCAAATGGTATCTATAGATAGCTAATTACTACTAAAAGATAGTGCTTTATGAAAATTTCTCTATATATTAATATCAAAGAATTGGACTTGGGCCTTGGGAGGTTGGACCTAAAATAACTGTTTTGCATTTTTATTTATTAAATAAAAATCTGTTTTATTTGAATTTTAAATTTTAAATATATCTGAATTTAAATAAATACAAAGTATATTCTTGGTTTGTTGTATCCTAAAGAAGATTGTTTGTGTTTACTCAATTTATACATATTCTTTTTAAGGAAAGTCGTCACGCCTCAAAACTTCTTCAATTTTGTTTTCAATTTCTGATTTTTCCTAACAGGGGAGGCTGGGAGCAAGGTAGAATCGAAGTTTCTCATTTATATTCTCGCATTTATAGTTCAGCTTCACTAATTGTAGTTTGTTAGATCTCAATAACAGTTCCCCCTCCTATGTTTTTTTTTGCATTTGCTTTGAGAATTTTGAACTCATGATTTCTCTGATACTCGCTCCGTCTCCTAAATGTGTCGTGATTTACTTGTGCACACCCCTTAAGAAAGAATAGTTTTTGACTACTTAATCTTATTAAATATTTTTTCAATTTATGTATCATCTCCATCAATAACATTATCCATATTTTTATTAAATGTGAATGCAATTGATTTGCTTTATAGAATATATGAAGAGACACCTAGGATAAGATTAATTGAACTTGATTGTGATCGACTTCGACAGACTCCTTTCCATAAACGAACGATTATTCAAAGTTCAAAGCATTTTGAATTAAAGTGTTTAAGATTACAAGGTAGACTTCTTGGTATTTGAATAAAATTATCCATAAGTAATGTGTTTGTCTTCTAAGATAATTAATTAATAAGGGTAAAAAGAAAAAAATATAATTAATTTTGTCTTGAACTTCTAAAATGACAAATAATTTGAGACAACTATTTTAGTAACCACGACACATATTATGAGACAGTGGGAATATAGCAAATTGAGATGTGTGCACGTGGGCCTTTTGGAGTGTTTTAAGTATAGTCATAATTATTTATGACTTTCACATTGCACAATAATCTCCAAATATAATGTGCAATTGATGAATCAAGCAGTTTAAGTGTTTCAAGGTAACAATTTATCAATTGCAAGGGATTGGAGTAAAAATGACGTGTAGCAGCCACTAATTAAGGGTGTCTTTAATTTTTATCCACTAATTACAATGCTCAGCAAAAATAGCCACTACTAATAGGGAAAAGACACATTTACCCTTTCTTCAATGCGCTTATAATGCCAAAATGCCCAAAAATCCTTTTTTTTCATTCAGTCGAGGGAAAAGAATTTGAGAGGGGTTTCAGGGCAAGTTGCATATTCTCTGCTTCTTCATCATCCTCTCGCATGCAAAGGATCTTTAGTTAATCTTCCTGCTCCTTCATCTTCTCTGCCATCTTCTGTGAATCGTTCGCGACTGGTAATGTGTGTGTTTTTTTTTTATGCATTTTTGTATTTCTAAATGTGTAATCGGGTTCAATGCCGTGTGAAGTATGTTTGAAATTGCAAAAAATGATCATTATATGTTGATTCAGTGTCGGAGATGTAGTGTGATTGTGTTATTCAGAAATTTTTAGGGTTGAAATGTGAAATGTGTTTGTGGTTGATTCAATATATTTGATTATGTAGGTATATTTCATAAAAATAGTCGTAGAAATTCATAAGCTTACTGTGTTTATGAATTTTTAGTTAACTGTGTTCCTGAAATATAAGAAAGAAACGTCATTAAATTTTGAAGTTGGAACTCAAAGTTAAGGACTGATTGTCCTTAACTTTTGCACATGAAACTTGAAGTTAAGGACCAAATGTCCTTAACTTTTGAACTACAAATTTGAAGTTTAGGACCTATTGTCCTTAACTTTTGAACTTTAAACTTTATGTTAAGGACTGCTTGTCCTTAACTTTTGTATGTGACACTTGAAGTTAAGGACCAAGTCCCTGCAACTAACTGTAAGTCCTAATCTTTGTTTTCTTTTTCCTTCTTTTGTAGTGTGATAATGGAAGGAGATCGTGTGTTCGACTTTGATGATTGGCGTAATTTTATGGTGTATTGGAAAGGAGATTTACAATATAAGGAAACAATTAAAGGTTTTTTGTCGAATAGCCAGTGGAAGAAATTGAGGGATGGTATTTTTGGCAACTTCTTCCGATTACAAAGTGTAAAGTTCTCTGGTAAACTTATTCACTGTATATTGCTTTCAGAAATTGTAAATAATGAACCTGATTCAATGACATTCAAGGTATTTGATCGTGAAATTAAGTTTACCCGTGACGCATTTCACATAATTACTGGTTTGAAGTCTTATTCGTCGCTCGACATCAAAGGTTTACATGAGAAAGAGAATAGGCTTTTAAGAGTCTATTTCCCTGGAAAGGATAGAATTGAGTTGGGTGATTTGTTTAGTTTTATTTCTAGTCACCCACATGGTACAGCTTCATCATTTGTTGGCAGCGATGATGATGCTTTGAAGTTGGCAACAATCTATTTTGTTGAATCTGTTTTGATGGGCAAGCGGAAGAATAGGAATGTGTCCGATCAGATAATGAAAATTGTCGACGATGACGCACTCTGCTCTTCCTTCAACTGGGGCTCTCTTTCTTATGAGACGCTATTAAAATCATTGAAGAGTTGTTTGAAGCCAAATGAGAATGAGATTGAGAAGGAGAAAGACAAAGATAAAGAGAAGGATAGCTACACTATAGTTGGCTTTCCTTTTGCCTTTTGTGTTTGGATTATGGAAGTACTTCCTATTTTCCAAGAAAAACAATTTGTGAACTT